TAATAATAATAATAATGATAATAATAATACCGGTAATAATAATTTATCGTTCAACTCGATTAAAAGCGTCGTGCTTTGCCTGCTACAACATATTAACAACACATCGTGTTCTGATTAGAAATGGAGACATACTAATGTTGTAATAAAGTACCAGAATTCCCAGTTTCCTTGCAGCATGTCAGTGTTATCTCAAATTACATTACGGATATAAATGAAATTGTCTTTTTTCTTCAATGCCGAAACTCAACAAGGCGTCAGTCCGTAAACCAAAAGACAGAGCTGTTTAATATAATTTACGTAAAATTACCTTTAACAAAACTACCGTTTATATCCCCATGGGCCTGAAGTAGTTCCATTAAGTTGTTGTTGCTTTAATTAATGTGCACACTAAAGCTTTGTCACGAAGACGCTTTATATTCATTTTCTCTTTTCACATTTTTTTCTTCCGCTTGTACCGGTGGGTGTCGCGGGGAGACACAGGCTTCTGTCTGAAGCAATTCGAGTGGCCTGTAGGAGGGACATCCCGAGAGCTCTGAGGGTGTCTGCAACAGATTCACTCCAGCGTCGCCTAGGTCTTCCTCTGGCTCTCCAGCCAGAACATTTAATGTTATATGCCCCCAGAGTTGGTTGGTTTGAGGACATCCGTGTTAGGTGTCTGAACCACTTGATCTTTTGTTTTTCAATGTGTGGTAGGACTTGTGTTGCTCCTACCGTGTCCCTTAAGATTTCATTTTTATATTTTGTCTCTTCTTGCCCTGTTAGCTACTCTTTTTAAACATTTCATCTCGCATATGACCAGCTTCCTCTCTAGAACTTTTGTTAGGGACCATGTCTGGCACTGATATGTGATTGTTGGTAGGAAAATGGTGTTGATGAGCTTCGCCTTGGTCATCATGGGGGTATTGGGATATTTCAGGAGAGGGGCGAGTTGATAGCTGACTTCATTCTATTTCTCGATCTAATTTTCCAAGACGCTTTATCATGTTCTAAATATTCTATTTTCTTTTAACATCCAGAACCAGTAGCTGTACAAATGGTCAGTGTCCGGATAAAGCGATCCCCGGTCTATGGGAGATCCCCATCAACAGCTGGATGACGGAGGACAGCTACTGTAGCATGGTCGACGGCTGTATCGTGGCGGACCCCGCAGACACTGATGACGTGGTCAAAGCAAAATATTTCGCCTACTTCAAAGAAAACTTCCTGAAATTCTACGAAACTCGGGTAAGTATTATTGTTTCAAAAACAGCGGCTGGCTAATAGTCTGGCAGATTTGAGAAATCGCAAGGAAATAAAAGCAAAAGAAATACAGTCAAATGCAGTTGATAGAGAAAATCATCGTATCTAAAATACTCAAAATGTACATTAATGTACGAATGGGAAAGTTTTTTAATTTTCATTGAAAACGCGAACTCCGTTTCCTCTAGCGGAGGCACGATTTGCAGTGTGCACACATCGTCCGCGGAATGATCGCGATGGCCGCACCATTTGAAAACAACTCTATTTTGGAAGAAATGTGAAAGGAAACTGATACAAATAAGTAAATTACTTTATCTAAGATCTATAATAGTTGCATTAGAGCTCTTCTACCCAGTAGACTAAACAAGCAAACAAACAAACAAGGTGTGTATGCTGACAGAAGTTGAATGAAAGAACGTTCAATTTTATCAAGTGCAAATATTTATGTAGGCCTACTGTATATAAATGTTAACATGACAAGAAATGACGTGTAGCGTTCTAGCCTAGTGGTTAAGGTGTCAGACTTTTTTGACTAGATGTAAAACTTTTTAACCATGGTTCAAACCTGTGTGTCTCCCTTTTTTTTGCGGTATTTTTTTTTTTAGCTGTATTTTTCCTTTTTTTTTTGGGGGGGGGAGGTTTTTTCTGTTTTATTTTTCGTCTCTGGCTTCAGTACATGGATACGATTGACATCTTGGAACGCTTCCTTAAAAGCCGAAGGATTCAGGGGAATGGTGGTTACATTTACAATCCTTGCAAAACATGCTCCCCTTCCTTGCTGCTGCCAGGCACTCACAGTACACCAAATCGGTCTATCTACCTTTAGAAGATGAGACAGCTTGAAGAACAGCACCCATCAGTTTTCAATGCCCTCTCGTTTGGCTTTCACGTTCGAGGGTCGAAGTGATCGCTTCTGGGCTGGACTGAGTACTGATCTCGTGATTGAGCAAGTCTTAATGAAAAACCCAAAGTCTGCAGGAGGACTGACGCGTGGTAGAGGCATGGGAGATACACAGAGAACACAGTAGCTCATGTCCATACCAGCTTGTGCTGATATAATGTGCAATGAAATGCAGTGGGTTACTGGTACAGAATTAGATACAAGTCAACAACATATTGAAGTCAGTGATGCCAGACAAACGAGAGATGATAAAGATATGAGACTGCTCCTTAGTTTCCTAAAAGATCGCAACTCCTTTGCCAGTGATCAGACATTACGGAATATATGCACAGGGGTGACAGCTCATTCCACAGTTAATGCCGACACTGCAAAAGATGTTGGCAAGGTTATTTTGCAGACCATGCAGGACAAACCTGTGAAGGACTCCACCTTCAAAAGAAAAGACCAAGTTGTTAGCATGGACACCAAAATCACTGCCAAAATGGAGGGTGCAAACATACAAAGTCAATCCTCAACTTCTCTTTCAGCGGATGATTACAGCAGCAAACGTTGACAATTATAATCTCCCATCTGTGTTGAAGTATGAACTGACGACTCCACCACCATCTCTCTTTGAACTATCAAGATTGAAGAGAGAGGCACACATTTCCAAGCTGGCTGATTCAATTAGAGACCTCTTCAAAGATGATCCACCATCGAAAGATGAGTACATGGACATGGTGACCATATTGGACGGGGGTTCACGTCTTCACAAAATCCCCTGGAGGAAGAAAGAGCCCGTTTCCGTAATTTGTAATAGGTATGCTGAATATGTTAACAGGAAATATTCTAAGCCCATCGTGGTGTTTGATGGGTATGAGTCGGGCCCATCAGTAAAAGATGCCGCTTTCCTCAGGCGTTCTGCAGGTATGGTTGGACCAGCTGTTGTCTTCCCCAAAGAAATGCCATTGACCTCAAGCAAGGAACACTTCCTTTCAAATCCAAGAAACAAACAGGAGTTCGTTCACCTCCTTAGAGGCACTCGGATGGCTCTTGGTTGCCACTGTCTTCACGCTGCTGGAGATGCCGACACACTCATAGTAAAAACTGCCATGGGGTATCCAGCAACCCACCCTGTAGCTGTCATTGGAGAAGATACAGACTTGCTCGTGCTCCTTTGTCACCATGCACAGCTCAGAAGAAGGCCAATTATCTTCAGATCAGACAGAAAAGCTGGCGACAATCACAAAAGTTTAAACATTCAGAACCTGTAGGAGAAACTAGGTGTAGAATCGTGTCATTTTCTTCATGCTGTCAAAGGCTGTTATTTAACTTCGAGACTTTTTGGGCTGGGAAAAATGGTTCCAATGAGAAAATTGACAGATGCCCATTTTCGAAAGCGAGCTCATATTTTTTGCACATCAGGAAGGAAGACATCAATGATGCTGGAGAAAGAGCTTTAGTCAGTCTCTACAATGGCAATGCTGCAGACACCCTTGCGCTACAAGAGGTTCTATATAAAAGTTGCATCATGTGCCACATCCGTCCAAATCCAATGCTTGCCGCCAACCAGTACTGCAGCCAAGTACCACAGTCTTCGGGTGTATCTTCTAGTACAGGTAATATTCAAGACACACCGGGGATGGCAGCTGCACGATGATCACTTAGAGCCATGCACGACAGATATGCCACCTGCCCCACATTCTCTGTTGAAGGTGATTAAGTGCAGCTGTAGAACAGATTGTAAGTCCACAAATCGCACGTGTCGTCGCCACGAACTGGAATGCTCCATTTCCTGTGGAGGTTACATGGGTTTGACCTGCACAAATTGCCCATCACTTACTGAGGAAGATGATATCAGTCTCCTGGAGTTTCCTGACGGGCTTGATACTCTTGAAATACCGAACATGATGAACGTGCACGATCTACTGTTGTGAAATTCCATTTGGTGTGTTTGTGTTCCTATTTGGCCTCCAAGCTTTTTCAATATTACACATTCAAACAGCATTTTGTCGAGCTTTCAAACGAGGTGCAACATGACTATTTTCTAAAAGATTTTTTTTATAAAGTTGACTCCGATGACGTCATGAGCTAAAAATAGTATTTCCCATTAAAGCGTGAATGTACATTTTTAGTATGTTGAAAGTGACTTAACTCTATCTACATCCAAATACTTTTTGTTTCTTTTGCAACTTTTTCCTTTCTTCCAGTATTTTTGTCGTTCCTCTACTACACTATAAATCTTTACAAACTTAATCACCCTGATGTGTTGGCCCTTATTATTTTGTTAGGAATATACAGTATGATACGGATTGGTCGAACACAGAAGACTCGAAATCAAGCATCCGTCGAACTGTCGTTGAGGTCCCGGGTTTTTTTCTTCTTCTTTATTTTTTGTAGGATATCCTTCGAACTACCGAGGCCGGTCCCGACGAATTTGAGCTATCCGTGTCATACTGTAATAACAAATGCATATTATAATATGCCTTATCCTGACCAAGCTCACTCTTAAATTATGACACACCACAACTCACGCATCAGAACACATTACTCATGTGTGCTACCCGAAAAGAAAATAGTTCCGTCACATCGGGTGACAACAGTTAGATCTATCGAATGTTAAACCACAAAAAAACCACAACAACAAAACATAGCTAAACAAAACCCACTAAACATTTGCATTCAGGTTGTACTTCTATTTACACATCGATAATGGGATGCTGTTGCTGCTGCTCCTGCTGTTGCTCCTGCTGCTGCTGCTGCTGCTGCTGCTGCTGCTGCTGCTGCTGCTGCTGCTGCTGCTGCTGCTGCTGATGATGATGATGATGATGATGATGATGATGATGATGATGATGATGATGATGATGATGAAACAAATGACTAGTCATAATCAACATCATCATCATCTACATCTATTAATTGTTTTAAACATCTCTAGAAAATATTAATATTATTAATGTACACAGACAGTGGTTGGAAGTCGCCACTTTATTCTCTCCCCACTGATAAACAACCATTATCGAATCCATCTGCTCGCTCTTTGCTCAAAGCTCTACACATTTTACTCTTTATTTATACTCAGCTCTCCTCCCCCCCTCCGAAAAAAAGAAAGAAAAAACCCCAACAAAAAACAAGCAAGCAACAACAAAACACCAACAACAAAGAAAATCCTTATCATCAACAACAACAAAAACAAACAAACAAACAAAAATCCTGTTTCCCCAGACTCCGATGCACATCTTCACCCACGCAGCACTGTTCCAGCGGAACCGCGGCAGTTTTGAGGCCCTGGTCATGTTCCTCCAAGAGGTCATGTACTACGACAACATCTGGATGCTCAGTCCCTCACAGGTCATTGATTTCATGAGCAGCCCCGTGTCCTACACCAAAGCCATGAACAGTGCTATCCCTTCGTGGCGATGTTAGTTTTGGTTGAATTGTGCCTTTGAGAATAAGTATCTTCTTCTTCTTCTTCTTCTTCTTCTTCTTCTTCTTCTTCTTCTTCTTCTTCAAGTGTCAGGTCTGGAGAAGACATTGACGATCATGGACCCCATTCCTTCAATGTTGTTTGGGTCCTACTCAGGTCGGTTTTTCCCATTTCTTCATTTATTGCAAATTTGTTTAGATCTTTGTATGTTTTTGTCAGTCTTCGTCTACTCTCCCTTGCCTCTATCTTTCCATACAGCAATAGTATCTTTAGCCAGTTAGATCTGTTTATGTGGCCAATTGTCTGAATTGTCTTTTTAAAGGTTCTGATCATACATCTTTCACATCCTGTCATCTATGTCTAATTTTTGTCAAAATTGTCGTCTTCTCTACAGCCATCAGAAACTTTTCGGCTCCTATTATCAAATAACAGGGGAAGAAAGCATTGTCTTTATTATTACATACTCTTTTTTGTAAGAAATATTAATGAACTTTGGGAACATAATTTCTACTTAGAAAGCATCTTTCGAAGTCGAGGTGTCACCCATTAAAAGAAATCTGATCTAATTATCTGTCGCCATTATATCAATTCGACATTTGGCAGGCGCCACGTCCACATTACATGACATGTAGCCAGCCAATTGGACTGGTCAGATGAACAAGAAATACAGAACAATATAACACAAAACACTTCTTTGGTCTCCAACGCTTGTGTGTGTGTGTGTGTGTGTGTGTGTGTGTGTGTGTGTGTGTGTGTGTGTGTGTGTGCGTGTGTGTGTGTGTGTGTGTGTTTATGTGTAAGTGTGTGTGGGTGAGTGGGCGTACGTGCGTGCGTGCGTGCGTGCGTATGTGCGTGCGTGCGTGCGTGCGTGCGTGCGTGCGTGCGTGCGTGCGTGCGTGCGTGCGTGCGTGCGTGCGCGCGCGCGCCTTGTGTGCGTGTGTGTATGAACATACTTTAATGCAGGTGTTTCAACCCCTCCCTCCTCTATAATGGTACAATTTAGATAATTTAAGAATCTGGCTGTGAGGGATACAACGTTCCAGCAGAAATACCGGGATACTCGATAAGCTCTCCCCACATGGGAATCGAACTCAGGTCTTTAGTGTGCGACGGCGAATCGCCGAACCGCTACCCCACAGAGGCTGTTTGCGTGTGTGAGTGTGTGCGTGCGTGTGTGTGTGGGGGGGGGGGTTAACAGAGAGCAACCGGGGGCGGGAAAGGGGGGGGGCGGGCTTTTTTAACAAGCGAAAGCAAATTTCTGAAGACTTCCAATCTTCTGTCATGACTGGCCTTCAGCAGACATTTTAACACGAACGATGGGGGGCTCTCATGGCCTTAGAGGTACGGTGTTCTCCTCTCATTTAATATGTCCCGGGATTGAAACCTGACAACGACGGAAAATCAAGCACTGACTTCAATTTTCGACTTTTGGGATTTTAAAAAATCAATATATACTATAAAGGTGACGGTGCGGTGGCGGAGTTGTTAGTGCGTTCTTCTCCAAAGAGGAAAGTCCAGGTTCAAGCCTCGGTTCAGACACGGATTTTTTTCGCCCCCTCTTTCCCACCCAGCAGTAATTGGTACCCGACTTCGAGTTGGGGAAGAAAAGGCGGCGTGGAAAGGAACTTCCACCCTACCACAATATGCCGAAGGCCCAGGAGGTAGTCTCACTAACAAGGCAATCCCCAATGTCCGGACTGGATTCATTCGGGAACAACTTTACTTTTTACTATAACGGTTAATTGTTAATGTCCGTGATTCGTACGATTTTAGTTTTATTTTGTACCATCTCCTGTTTTCACGATCGAAATTTGATGCTTGCAAAAGGATTTACGCCAAAACTATGTATACAAATGAAGTAAGTACATGATATTATAATGATAGTGATAGCACCAAGCTGTCTGGATGCTAAGTGCGCGTCATTGCACAAACGGAGAGCGGCTGTTCAAGTCAACGGTTGTGCTGCAGCTCCCGCCCAGTTTGACTGCTTCCTCAAGTCGGATTCAACAGTCCTGTCTTTAATTAATAAAGAGGTTTTTTGTCATAGACGATGGCGTCGAATTGTGCGAACATTGGAGCAAAGAGGAGAAATCTGGCCAGACCAATGCCGGGATTCTACCAATCCTTCTGAAAAGCACAAAAATCCGGCGGGTGGTTGGAGGGCACCACTGTTGGTTCCTACATCTCTTACCATTTATTGTTTCTGTCCCTGTATGCCTATATGGCCCTTGCTGTGTCGATGTGCTTCTCTTAACTTAAATCCTAAAATCCAAAACAATATTCCAATAGTTGCACACTGACAGTTTTCTTGGTGTGTTTTCTGTTGTGGTACACAAACCGAATAAAGACAAGAGAGCATAATAATATAGAACAATCGCAGGCTATTATAACTGAATGAAATCCTGTGCATGTAGACGTTTTCAAACTGGTGAATCGTTTAATTCATATAGAGGGGCCAAGTCATTAATTTGTGTCTATTATGAAATACGATTCACCATAAAATCAAAGACAATATTAGCTTAGAACACGTTGTATCTGTGCCTTTACATTTGTCAAGTCAAGGCTTTTATAATGGCCATCACTAACATTGATGTTAATTTAAGATTTTGCTACCTGTGTTTGTGATGTAGTGGGTAGACGCTTTGCCGTCGCATGCAAAGGACCCGGATTCGATTCAAATTTGGGGATTTTTTTTAGTACCGTATTCCACAATACAACCTCGATCTTTCAGTAAGCTCTCAGTTTCAACCTTTTCTGTCTTGACCAACCTGAGCTTAATGGGAGGGAGGATTCCAACAGTACGCTTCCCAGGAAGTTGAGGTTGTTTCAGAATGCTCTCAGGTCTACTGGGGTAACAGTATAGATTGTGAAGCGCATAGAGATTGCTGTTGAGGTGGGATTTGCGCTATACGAATTGTATCTCTATTATTATTATATTCAACAGAAATTAGTAAATATTCTATGAAGTAAACTCCCTACAATTACAAGGGATTGAACAACTTAAATAAAGAAAAAGAAAGAAGAAGAAGAAAAAAACTCATGACGGGAAACACTGCCTGCATTTCCAGAGCTGTGGTGACATCATAAAATGTATATGACGTACCATCTTCAGAAGCACTCTCTAGGAGTGTGAAAGAAGTAACAGCACTTTTATCACAACAGCATAAAAAAGAAATCACTCACAATAGACAATGGCAAGTGAACTTGAGCTTTTAGTTATACCATTAGTAGATCGCCTTTGTGATGGTGATAACCATCAAAATAACAAAACTGATAATAATAATAATAATAATAATAATAATAATAATAATAATAATAATAATAATAATAATAATAATAATAAATACATGTACATGTATAATGACTAACCTTAATGCCTGGGCCTGATTGTATGGAGAACATGCCTTGCCCAATTTGCTTGAACCACCTCTCGACTTTGCAGATTTAGTCCAAAGGAGCGACGAGGTCAATACATTTGGAACCAGTAGAGTTGCAGGGGCTGCCAGAAGATATTTCGGATCATTCCTCCCTGTCGACTCCTGGGTCCCTCCCTCCGGGTGTGTTTAGGGTTTACTCACTTAGCCTTTCATACTCCCGTATGCACCTAAAAGGCAGTAGGAGCAGCTGCAGGTAGTACCATCTACTGTCATTATAGTATCAGTACTACGGCTGACGCGACATTCATGTCTACTTGAATGACACCATGGCATAAGTAATGTTGTAGCAGGAAGTGAGCGGTGAAGAAACCACCAAACAGAAACACGGGGGTCTCAAAATTCAATTACCGATTAAGATTGGAGTCAGCAGGACAATACATGCACGTGCTAACTGAAAGTCACTAGAGACAGGTTTAATAATGAATACTACTGATGAAATTATACGATGTACAGTTAAAGACTGTCTCGTTCTTTGTAAGCGACAGAAGAACTAAATTGGCAAGAACGGTGATCTTCAAGCGGGCTCTTTCCCTCTGAGGGCAACTGGTCAATTCGCCGAGCTGGATGACGTCATCCCTGGTCGCGCAATACGAAGGCACGCATCGTGACAGCACAGCTGGTAACAACAATGTAGTGAGCCAGCGAGATCAACTGAGATTTAGGAACGAATTTATGTGGGGCGACAACACATCGGCAGGCCCTTATTGTATCTTTGAGCGTACAGTATTTTTAAAAATCTATATTGGGAAAGTGCTATTTTAACGTTGACAAATATTATTTTGGATTTACTTAGAAGAACTATTATCAGCAGCCAATCTCTTGTTCACTATAGCTGATTAAAAGTGACAGGCTCTGCCGATCTTGCCCAATCAACGAACCGCACCTGATTGGAGGAACACTACAATAATCAGGTTCTTGTTCTAAATATACACAGTGACAAACAGATGAAGTAAAACAGGACTACAACAACAATAACAAGGAAGTAGGCACATTATAAATAATCAAATTCTTGTTTTAAATAACAGATGAAGGTAGACAAGACTAGATCTACCGATTTATTACACCAATAACAAGGAAGTAAGAACATTACAATCAGGTCCTTTTTCTAAGAAGACAGCGAAAAACAGAATATCATGAAATGAGACAAGACTGCAAAATGAACAACCTTTCATGATAACCAGGTTCTGGTTCTAGATAAATACACTACAGTGACAAGCAGATTAGAAGTAGTGAGACAAAACTAGAGTAACAATTTACAAGGAAGGAGGAGGAACATTATATTATAGTCACAATAATCAGGTTCTGGTTCTACATAGCAACAAACTAATGAAGCAAAACAATATTGCAACAACAATTTAAAAAAAAAAAAAGAAGTAAGACCTGAACATTAAAACAAATCAGGTTCTGGTTCTAAATAACAGTCACAGTGACAAACGGGAAGAAAGACAAAATAATACAACAACAAGGAAGTAGGTAAACTCATGGCATGAGGTTCTCGAACAGATGAAGTGAAATAAGAATATACTTTAAAAAGAAAGTAGAAGAATTCATAAAAGCGTGGTTCTGGATCTTAAAAATTTAATGATATCACAATAACAGATGAAAAGATGTTGCAAGACAAGAATCGGCACAATTTGTACCTACCAGTCCACAAAATAGTCTTCCTCTGAACCAGTCCGACAATTACCCTACATGGCACTCTACCACAATCAGGATACGTAACACTTTCCACAATCAAATTCTTAACATTTTCCAGTCACATGTCTTCCCTCTGTGTTTATAGAGCTAGATCTTTGCTGCCCATGAAGTATCGAAATAAAATGTAAGGGGACAAATCTAACAATTCACAAGGCCTTGTTGTGGGCGAAATCTTATAGACTTTCAGCAAGATTGAGGTCAGGGCTATTTTCAGGCCAATCTATGGTCATGGCCTTGACCCTTTTAAAGGTAATTTGCGTAGTCTTTCCTCCCTCGCATGGAGCGCCATAGTGCATGGAAATTTTTTCACCTGTAAACAGTTTTAAGTTCCTTAGGCCATTCAAAGTTTTTCCAGGCTCCAAACTATAATAATCATGTAGGTCCAGACTATGAAATTGAGCCAGAGATCATCGGACTTGGTAAATGTTTCATTGTCAATATGGTATACTTTGCACTGCATATTTTCCCTGGTGGCCTTCTGACATGGCACTACGGAACTACAAACTGCTGCAAAGACAAATCACCTTAAAACACCACTCTTTCCAAATGCTGTG